CCTCCCTTCACCCTCCACAGCCTGGCCAAGGTGTTTGTGATCCACTGGTCTCTGGGAGGCAAGGGAAAATGAAGGAAGAAAGATTAGGTTTAAGCACGCCATCTGACTCACAGCCCCAAATTTGTTACCAGGAAAAGAGAATTAAGAACTACCTCAGTTCTTAGTCACTCAAAAAAAAAAAAAAGACATGTGGCAAGAGACATAAACTGTGATAAACAAGATTTTTTATTAGTGAAGTTAAAAAGAAAAAAACGTGAAAGATAGCACACTCCAAAAAATTGGAAAAAGGCCAAAGAGAGTAAAAATGGAACCATTCATTAGTTTTCCCTGTATTATATACTTGTTCATTTTTTCTTTTCTTTCAGTTTTTTTTATTGAGTTATAGTCATTTTACAATGTTGTGTCAAATTTCAGTGTAGAGCAAAATTTTTACTTATGCCTAAACATATATATAATCATTGTCACTTTTTTTTCAGCTGGGAGCTAACACCAGATTTTGTATATATTACCATGTGATACATAGTATAATCTTATTTATCTATTCTACATTTTGAAATCCCAGTCCGTCCCTTCCAAACACATGCCCCATTGACAACCACAAGTTTGAATTCTGTGTATATCAGACTAATTCTGTTTTCTTATTTCGTATATTTCTCTTTCTTTTTTCCCTTAGTTTCCACATATGATTGATCACATATGGTATTTTTATTTCATCCGCTGGTTTATTTCATACACAATAATGATCTGCAGGTAAATCAATGTTGCTGCAAATTGTGTTATATTTTCAGTTTTATAGCTGAATAGAATACCATTATATAAATATACCACATCTTCTTTATCCAGTCAGCTGTTGATGGACATTTAGGCTCTTTCCATATCTTAGCTATTGTAAATAATGCTGCTGTGAATATTTGGGTGCAGGTGCCATCCTGAAGTAGGGTTCCTTCTGGATATAAGCCAGGAGTGGGATTCCTGGGTCATAAGGTCAGTCTATTTCTAGTCTTTTGAGGAATCTCCATACAGTTTTCCACAGTGGCTGCACCAAACTCAATACTCACTGGCAGTGTAGGATGGTTCCCTTTCATTCACAGCCTCTCCAACATTTGCCAC